TATATATGGATGAATGATTAATGTCACATTTCCATGAAAATGTGTATCTATACAAAAGACTATAGATTATCTGGATTATTCGATGGCATAACTACCCTGTAAAGAATGTGTTAAGAGTGTGTATTTGTTGTTGTTACTCTATACCATTTGTTGATATAATCACCTTTTAAGAAAAATCATATGAAAGTTTGCAGTACAACTATAATTTCACAGTTGCAAACAGTGAATACACTATACATTATTTATGCAGCAACATTTCAAATGATATCATTATTGAAAAAATAGTTACAGTAAAATATCTTGGATAACTCTGAAGGGACATACAGTCCAATGCTTAAAGATCCAAAATACCATGAAATTCCAAAGATATTTAAATGTCTTGGTAATTTAGACATCAATATTTTAATGTTTTGGTAACTTGAACATCAATCCCAAACTTCTAATATTCCTTTCTATTAATTAATAAGTAGCCTAGTGTGTCTCAGTCCAATAACACAAATTACCTCCTTGCTCCCTATTTGTTGTTGTTGTCCTCCTCTTCCTCCTCCTCCTTCTTCATGTCAGGTTATAACTGTTACTAAGACAAACTGAGTATAGTTATCAGAGTACCCAGCAATAGTTGAAAGTTTTTAATAATATTTGATTTAGTGAAAGTTGTCATATTTATATTCCATGAGCACAGATCCAGAAGTACAACACAGACCTGCAATTTCCTCCATTCATAGCAGCTGTTGTTTAATTAAGATCAGAATGATAAACTCCAAAATTATTTCAATATTCCTTTCTTTTAGCTGTGTGCATTCACACATTCACACCAATACTTTATCCAAGTTATTCATGTTAAGCTCTCAAAAGATATTGTGTTTTGATTTTATTGAAGAAAGGGAAAATGTCATTTAATGAAAAATAGCAAAAATTGGTTAAAAGGGATTTTACTTACCCAGCTGTCTTTCAAATATTGAGAACTAAGAAAGGCTTAAGATTTCACCCTGCTTGTAAGCTAACAACTTAGCCTGCCAGGTTCATAGATACTGACAAAAGACGTGATGAAGTAAAGAAGGCAGCATGAGTTTCACACTTACACTCTTTCCCCTTGACCCCCAAGTTACATAAGGGAGATGCTGAATGGCATAGGTAGATACTACACAGTGGGTTTGTGTCACACATGAGGAACCTAGAGCTTGAGAAACCAATCTTATAAAGAGGCTGCTTGTAAACTTGCTCAACTTTTGCCCTTGAGAGAGACATTATATTTATTATTCTGGTTAATAAAAATTAACCTCTTCCCTGGAGGGTGACAGTATCACCATTTTTCAAGGTTGTTTGTTATAAAAATATTTGTGAAAAGATAGGAACAACAGTTGTAATTGTCTCTTTATAAGACATGTAGAAACAACATAAGACATTTTTTCTCTAACCGCTAATATATCATCTTTTAAATAGCAAGTCTTGGAAAAATTGGAGATTTATACCTTTAAACCATGATTTGACTAGTGACTCCTTTCCTTTTTCTCAGCCAGGTAATTAGAATGCAACAAGAACAAGAAAAGTAAAAAAAAAAAAAAAAAAAAGTAAATAATCCTTTATCAAATCCAGTGATCATTCTAATCATTACTTTAGTGCACAATAGCTATACATATTTCTTAGCTGGATACTATGGATACTAGATGGAATAAATTATAAACACTTGTTATTCAAGTTTTGCTCTTTGGAAAATGAAAGATTTGTAAAATTGATTAATATCAGTTGTCAGCATCATTCTATTCAAACTTTGTGATAAAGTTTATGAGATGATTTTAAAACCATGATTTAATTAAGTAATTAAATAAATTACTTTTTTATTTCAATTCACAATAGAACAAATAACTACAGACTAACTTTATTTTATTTTAGTATGCTGATGGTTTTAATACTTGAACACTGAATGATAAAAGTCTAATTAGAATTAAAATCTGTTTGAGGATAAGTGATTCTGTAGTGCTAGATCCAGTTTGTGAGCTTTTATCCCCAAACTGGATTCAAGAACACAACCAAAATTACATAACAGGGACACCTATACTCTCATCCTATTCATTTTTATTGATTATAATAAATTATGCAAGATTGTTTCTATGAAAGACTAATAGTATCAGACACTAACTACTCCCATTAAGAGTAAGAATAAAATCAAATATTATCTGATAATTTGCATTTATTATAATTTCAGAAGATTCTCTGGAATGATTTTCATGCTTTCAATTTAACTTTTAAAGTGTCTTGCATCAATTAAAATAAAATTTTTACCACACATGTGAGGCAGTCTGATTTTTTTATAAACATGAAATTGTTCTGATTTAATATTCTTAAAACATAATTTACAAGGAGATGTCTAATGCCCTGATGATACTGAAATGGCACGCAATGAATACAAAGGCTTTATTATAAGGTAAACTTTTGAAATAAAATATAGTTTTAAATTCAAACTAGTAAAAATTTGAGAACATTAAAATGGTAAAAGGCTGCCATCTTCAGGGTTCTGTAAGCTTATTTCTCTTAAAAATATGTATTCTACTCTGTGCTGAGTATATAATTTGTTGACTATGGTTATTTTGAAAGTAAGCTATTATTTTTATTATTTTGCATATGCGAAGTAAAGAATGTATATTGTATACATGTTTTTAAAAATTCTATGAAGAAATTCTAAAAGTTAATACAATCATGAAAAATAAAATACATGCTTGTTTTTGTATCTTTGAGAAAAAGTAAGTTCATCTGTAATGTGTTGAGTTGGCTTGTAAGTTTAAAATACATATATTGCTCTATATTGTCAAATTTTTGACTGCATTACTCATCCATCTTTTTTCAGGTAAAAACTTGGTTACCCTACTTGAGTACTTGTGAAAAATCTTTCAAGTGGGCTGCTAGAAACGGATACATCCAGAATTCTTCATTCTGACTTGACTCTATTTTTCATTTGTCATTCCTAAAATTTTAGCTTAATAGATGCTTTTGTATTTTTTAATAAAAGTGAAAATGCAGATAATATCCATTTTACTCTTTATATATTCTAATGACATTTTCAAATTATATGGGCATTTGTCAGCTAAAATATAGATTTTATGGATAGTAATCTGACAGGGATAAAACCCAATTGCTATTTTTATTTTGCCCTCAGTTAGGAAAAGTGAGAAACAATAGTTTTTCTATTTTATTTTTACTGTCTTCTTCCTGATGACTTATATATCTTTAAAACGATATTTCATCTTCAAAAGAAAATAAGAGAAAAATTCAAATAGAGTATAAAAAAAGAAAAACGTTTGATTTCATTGTTTGAATTGTCTTAATTAAATTGCTCATACCAATTCATTGCTCACACGGAATAATTGTACTTGGAAGCCCCAAAAATACTGCCAGATGAGTAAATCTGACCTGTTGTTGAAGTAATTTAAGTATTCTCTGCACCATGAGAGTTACATTTTCTGTAATACAGTATATCCATGGATAAAAATACATTATCTATGTTATTGTAAACATTAAATACATACTTATTAAATACAGTATAATATGTAAAAAGCCTCTTATTAAAGTAAATTCCAACTATATTACATTAGTATATTATGACAATAACAAACACTTACTATGAGACCTGGAAGCATTATTTGATTTTCTATGCATTTAATTTTGCCATGGAGAATATCTCTATTGCCAGGCATGGTGGCTCACATCTGTAATCCCAGCACTTTGGGAGGCCGAGGCTAGAGGATTGCCTGAGTCCAGGAGTTAGAGACCACCCTAGGCAACATGGTAAGATCTAGTCTCTACAATCTAGTCTCCACAATTAAAAAAAAAATTAGCCTTGTGTGATGCCACACACTTATAGTCCTTGCTACGTAAGACGCTGAAGCAGAAGGTGCGAGGCTATGGAAATGGTGATCACGCCACTGTACTGTAGTCTGGGTGACAGAGTGAGATTCGAACTCAAAAAAAAAAAGATTATTTTTATTTAATATTATTGCAAAGATTAACTAACTCATGAAATAATCTTAGTATAATATTTCAAGCACAATGGATGCTAAATAAGTATGAATTTTATTATACAATGCATATCTAGCATATTATGTAGCACATATAGGAAGCATGTATATTATATTTCTATATGTATTTTATATTAAATATGTTACATATAATCAAAATATGAAGTGTAATTATAAAGTTTAATCTTTATGAGTATACAGATCAAAGAAAAAAGCACAGATGCTCGAGCTGTACATAGCAAGATAAGGAACTTCTTAAATATGTGTGGGAGTTTGTGTATATGCATATGAGGGGGAAGTAAAGTCTAGATGGTGATTGTGGACAATGGTAAAAGCTTTATCCAAGGAATACCAGCTTAATATTTGTTCACTTTTATCTCAAACTATTTCAATTCTATCAACTAATTTTCTTTTTATGAGTTTATTATTTTGTATCATCAAAATTACCTAAATATGGCATGTTTATAATACTTTGAAACTTTTTTCCAGGTATAGGAATTTTTATTTAGTTACAAGCATACAACTTTCAATGCCTTTTAAAAGATTTTTTTTGAACTTATGGAGAATATTTCAGATACTAAATTGAGCAGAATTTCTGGAAGTACCTAGTGTAAGACTTTGTCTAGCCCTCTAATAAACGTTTGCTGTCTTTGTCAGGATCTTGTTAACTTGGAATCTGTTATGTTAACAATATTCCTGCCTGCAGAAATAGATATTAAGAAAATGTAAACCGTTGCTTGGTTCAATTGCTGACTCATTACAGAGCAAAGACCTGATATTTCAATGATCTGTTTTTAAAAGCAAAGTAAAAACAGAAGTTTCTTCTCTTCCCAAAATTTTTCTTACTGAGATATCCTATTAGTTTGTGTTTCTTTCTGCAACTCTAACACTACTAAAATTTATGTTCATACAATTTTGTCTCATTTTAATAGTCAAATTATGAAATTTCAAAAGTTGAATTTTAAAATGAATTCACCCCAATTTAACTTAATTCTCAGGAAAATGGCATGAATGCTGTCTAAATTCAACCAAATTGCTGAAACTACTCCCACAGATGGGACACAGGTATTTCCAACCATTTTCAGTGCTTATGAGCACAATTCTCATGTTATGATGAGATCTCACATGATTCTCAAAAGCTTTTCTACTAAAGATGTCTTGAATTTGGGTCCATGGAACACAAAACACAGACCTCACAATAATGTGAAATCCATCCTTCTTTTTAGTATTAGTTGATTTGTAAAATTTTCCTGATGTCATTCTCTCAATGAGGGGATGATAGTAATACACCCTCAACGGTCTTCCAAATATTATGACTCTCTCATTTTGGTTGAAAATATTTGGGTGAGAAAGAACTGCTATATATTTTTGCTTTCCCCATGTGGCATTTTGATGCCCTGCAGCCTGAGAAACATATCTCCCACACAACAGACGGAGAAGCATTCTTCTTATGTCATGATTGCTAATTAATGGAATTCTCCATGACATTGAAAGTTGAAAAGGAATTTTGTGACTCATGGTGCTATGAAAGAAATTGCTTGTCTTAATCTCCATTTTCCCTGAGTTGAATTGTGATCTATCAGTTAAGGAATTGTTTTTATCACTTTTTGCTAGCAGGATACTCCTTTTCTGAATTCTTCCTAATCCTGACATAAAAAAGATCAATTTTCTAGGAATAGGGATCTTAATTTGAAGAGGTTCTGTTTCTTTTGTATCTTGTTTTTGAGAATCTTTTTGAATCTTCTCTGTTTCAAGCTCACTGTTTTCTACTGCTTGAGGAACAGCATCCTCTTCTGAGGTTAGTGTGCCTGGTTCCTTGTTTATTGAGTTCGTTTCTACCTGACAGATCATGTTGCAGTCAACAGATGGAGGCTCTGTAGTAAAGTCATTTGGAGTCTCATTTTTAGAATTTTTGAGAGCATTGTCAGTGGTATCACTTCCATCTTTAGTAGGAGAAGTCATCATGGGTTCTATTTGTGAGAAAGAAGACAAAGATTTATTAAATTGAGGAATAGTCCACTTTGTAAGAGTTCAGTTCTTTAGTTTTGGCAAAGAACATGTGGATGTGCTATTTTTGTGCTTTATCAAAACAATAAATATTTTATCAGAGTGACAAATCCACAAAATAAAATAAGAAAAAGTCAAAACTAAGGGCAAATATAAACCTCCTATTAAGTATGCGTTTTTGTTACATAGTTATGGAATTTGTATAAATTTGGAATAACAACCTTAGTTGGCTATTTTAAGAGTGTACTCTGCACACTAGAGCATTTATAGCTCTGGATAGGAAGCCCACTTATTCCCTTTTGGATGTTGGATTAAATAGAATTTTCATTGAGTAAGATAAGTCTGCATCACTGACATGAGAGTTTAAATAAGACTGAAGTAGAAGGCAGTTATTATGAGTATATATGTTTAAGAAGAATTAAGACCTATGTGAAAATGAAAAGGTTGAATTTGTATGAAGAACAAGCTATTCTTTTCTTGTTTTCTTTTTTCCTTTTTTAAAAAATTTACTATCTTTAAGCAATGTCTATACAAAGAAGAGCAATTGTGAGCTATATGAGAAAGGAAGGCTGCCTGGGTAAGAAGGTAGGAAGCTAAGTGAAGCTCAAACTCTGTTATTAAAATGTCTCCCAAATTTGAGACTTTCTTTAAATTCTTACTGCCTTAGCACTAATCAAGCTGATACTTACCTTGTGCTTGCTTTACTGCTGATATTCGCTGATTTCCCTAATTCCAAGTCCTATGATTACCTTTTTCCTCTTCTTACTTCTTTCTTTCCTTATGTCATGTATGCTAGTTCTCTGAACACTGTGCTTCAAATCCTTTTATATCGGGGTACTTGAAATAATCACAGTTAGGTGATTTCTCCAGAACAGGAACATAGGTAGGACAGTGTCTTAATGAAGGCAATGTTTTTATTTTTGTTTTTAAAAAGGCAAATGAATGTGGGTTGAAAAAAATCTAGAGACATTTTAGAAATTAACATGGTTTTTATTTCTCATGGCTAGATTTTATGAACTGACTTAAGTAGAGTTTATGGATAGGTCAGTTGGATTTAAAGATATAGAATAACATAGGTCCTTATTTCATACTGAAATCTTCAGAGACCCTCCACACTTTGACTCCACCTCCCCAGCCAATATTTTCCTCTGCTCACTCAATATGCTTTGTATGTTCTAATACCAGTGAACTTTTATTATTTTATGTTCATCTTGCCCTTCAATTTAATCTTTAATTATTTTCCAAAGTGTGATATCAATTCAAGTGTGACTACTTTCTATCAAACAGGCTATATATTTTTTATTGATGGCAGTGATCACAATTAGATTTTATGCTGTATCCTCCACTGTCTAGTGTTGTTCTAAGGTCTTGAAATTGTATGTTTTTCATATTTCCTTACTTTAAGCATGCTACTCCTTGACTTTTGTTTTCTTTCTGCTTCTTTCTTTTTTATTTATGTCTCTTGTACTTTTTAAAAACTCTTCTTAACATTTAAACATAGGCACTTCTCAAGACTCACTTCCTGATACTTCAGTCTACTTTTTGTTTTAAATTTTCTTCTCTAGGGTCCTTATATACTCTCCAAAATTGACAGAAATACTTGTAGAGCCTTGCTAAAGTTTACTGTTTGATTTTTTTTGAGAATTGACAACTAGAGAAGCTCTCCACCAAGACGTCTCAGCATCAGCAGAGTTATAATCAAGGTAAAACAACTAACAGTCTACATTTTAGAAGATGTCTGAAATAACCAAATTTAACTCACAAAATTTGAAGATAATATAACTGGCTACTTCTCAGTAAGGCTGAGATCCAATGATTTGGTGAAAATTGAAGTTCCTAGAGGTCATCTAGATCTTGTCAGATGCACCCTGAAAACGAGTCAAGATATTTTCATAAGACAAATGAAAAATGGTCAGAACCTGTATCTTCTCTCTTCTCAAAAAGTACCCATACTGCTTTATTCCTTAGTAGGATCTTCTTTTCTCACATCCCAGGATAGCTCTAAGATTCATTGTTCCCTTTCATAGTCTGAATTAGTATTTTATAGAAGATATATCCAGTGTTCATCATATATATACTCATATATTTATCACAAATTTTTATTCTTTTAGACTATATTAAGACTTGCTTGTCAACAAGTAGAATATATGTTATATATAAAAGCTTATTGTGCTCTTCAAAGTAGTTACAGCAGAAAGTTATGTACTTAGGACACTTATTGCTCGTTTAAAAAATGAACTCCCATTATACTTGTACAAGAAGCTTAAAGGTATTCTATCACCTCCTAATCTCTACCCTCTAATGCCTAGAGTTATGTTTGAAAATAGCCAGAGACATATGTTTTCTTCCTTTATCACTTTCTGACAACTCAGTCAAATGAATGTGTGTTTATTTGAACCATACAATCTGTTATTTTCTTTTTCTGTTCTCTATTTTTTATATTTGGTGCTTTTTACTCACTCAGAACATTACATACACACACATACATAAACAAGTTTATATATATATATATATATATATATATATAAATATTTCACTGTTTATTAGATAGAAAGCCAAAATTGTCCTGCTTCACAAAGATAAATATAGATTTGTCTGACAGTTTTAAAAATTATAATGTTAAAATCTTTAAAGTAAAACAATTCTTGAGTTGATAATTGGGGCCCCAAGAAAACACAAAGTTGCAGTTTAAGAGTTAATTTAAAAAATTTTTTATTTAAAAAACTGTAACTAAATGCCAGTGTTGGTTTTTTTAATATTCTTTTCTGACTAAGATTTTTACATACACAGCCTATTTATATTCAGAAGATATATATGGAGTTTTAAAAGATAATGGCTCTTTTGAACCTTTCTAAATCAGATTTAATTACTCTCCAAATTGATGAGAGTTTGTTTGCATTCTAGTCACACAGTCTCTTCCAATACCCACATGCTCTGGGGAAGGATGTGTGTTTTTTTCCACCAAAACTTTAAACATTTTGCACCAAATTGTATTAATAAGTCATCAGCGCATTCAAACTTCTTTATATGAATGTTCCATCTTTCCCTGTTGACAAACTCTTCGATATACAACTTATTTTCACCTCCAGATCAAAGAGCCTCAGCTACCATATGACTTTTGCACCCCAGAAACCTTCATCCTTCCTTAACTTCTTTATTTGAGGGAGCTTAACTTTTCTGTTCTTTCCAAATTGATTAATTTTACTTTTAAAATGTTTTCATCTCTCAAAAAGTTTAGTAGCAAATAAAACTAGATACTTTTACCACGTATGTTCACAGAAACATATGTGACCATATTGAAGCCCTGATCCAGAAGGACAAGTCTCAAAAGTGGTATCTCTAAGAATAGTAAGTCAAGAAAACAAAGCTAATTTCAAAATAATTTCTTAAATAATATAAAATAGACAAAGAGACTAAGGAGTACTTATTCAGATCCCTTACAGTTTTTCTGTCACTTTCAACTCATTCTTTATCTCCATTCTTACTAGTAGAAGTCCCTCCAAAAAATGTGCTTCATTGAACTCAGCCTTCTCTCCTTTATTTTCTTCTGCCCTCTGCCTCTTCATTTATACATTTTTCACAGTTCTTTTGACTCTGCATCACAATGTCCATAGAACTTGGCCACCTAGTAACCAAACAGAACCCTCTCTAGAGTGTGGGAAGAGGGAATAACTGACATGGCAAATTTGAAATTGTCTTAGATAGCAGGCAAAGAGTAAAGGCTGAGAATACACATGGGTTTATAATTTTTACCTTATCATAGATAAAATCCTAACTATATGCTTTTTCCAGTATTGAAACAGTGTGATGATAGAGTGGCCAGATATCATACGAGACACCCAGTAAAATTTGAATTTTTTATAAACAATACTTTTTAGTATAAGTATATTCCAAATATAATTAAATATGTTTAGGGACAAATTCACACTTTTAAAATGTTGTTAATCTAGAATTTAAATTTAGGCATACTCTGTTGTATGTACTAAATCTCACAATGCTACATGAAGCTAATATATGATTGACCATTTCATTTTATTAGGTTGGTTTATACATTTTTGTCATTACATCATTTTACTAGTCTTTCTTTCATTAGTTTACCTGATTTTCTTTTAATTTCTCAGCTTCCAATAATCAAGAAGTGGAGAGTCATAAATTCTTTGATTATCTGTTTGACCCTTATCAATGTGCCTTTATTCTGACCATGTCTCCAGAACACTTCTAATTCTCACCTGCTGTTGGTTTGGAGCAAGATTAAAGGGTTTCCTGATACCCGTGAGTCCCTGAGACTCACTATAGTTAAATGTTTTTAATCTAAGATGAAGTCTATTTAAAAGAGATTGTCAAAGGTGAATGATAAGACAACTTGAAACAAAAGGGGTCAATATAGGGCCTAGATAAAAACTGAGGGTCAAATTTTGGCATCACAGCTGAATGGTTAGTCCAAAAAAATGTAGTAGTAGAGCAAAGAAATAAAAGACAATCTTGGCAAAATTCCAGATATAAGGGCAGATAACCACAATGGTTCTGTCTTTCAGGTATGAGATTGTGTGAGCATGTTAAATACTTAAAAGGGGCCTAAGCAAATTACACTATTGATCCACATCTCTTACCATCTTATTTTTTTAGATATTATTTGTATCTAATATTTTCTTCCCTGTTTTTTTTCCACACCTACATCTGCTGTTATTTAGTTGTGAGTGAAGACTCTAGAATGTGAGCTAAAAGTATAATCTCTAAGGATTCAGATTTGTCATGATATTCTTAGAAATCTGGTGAGAAAGTTCTTCCAGTTGTTTATTTTTATGAAAAACTAAGGAGCTTCATGAGAAACTATTTACCTCAAAGAGTCAAATTACCTAAGCCTAGAACAAAGCTATTAAGCAATGATTTTTAATATAATAAAGTTTATGTATCTATCTCTAATATCTATCTATCTATCTATCTATCTATCTATC